GCCGAGCCAGGCCTCTTCCCCTGGCAGGCCCTGATAGTGGTGGAGGACACCTCGAGGGTTCCAAATGACAAGTGGTTTGGCAGTGGGGCCCTGCTCTCCGAGTCCTGGATCCTCACGGCAGCTCACGTGTTACGCTCCCAGCGCAGGGACAACACCGTGATACCGGTCTCCAAGGAGCATGTCACCGTCTACCTCGGGCTGCACGATGTGCGGGACAAGTCAGGGGCTGTGAACAGCTCAGCTGCCCGAGTGCTGCTCCATCCAGACTTCAACATCCAGAACTACAACCATGACATAGCTCTGGTGCAGCTGCAGGAGCCCGTGCCCCTGGGACCCCATGTCATGCCCATCTGCCTGCCAAGGCCTGAGCCCGAAGGCCCAGCCCCTCACATCCTGGGCCTGGTGGCCGGTTGGGGCATCTCCAATCCCAATGTGACAGTGGACGAGATCATCAGCAGTGGCACGCGGACCTTGTCAGATGTCCTGCAGTATGTCAAGTTACCTGTGGTACCCCACGCGGAGTGCAAAACCAGCTATGAGTCCCGCTCAGGCAACTACAGTGTCACGGAGAACATGTTCTGTGCTGGCTACTATGAGGGCGGCAAGGACACGTGCCTTGGAGACAGCGGTGGGGCCTTTGTTATCCTCGATGACTTGAGCCAGCACTGGGTGGCCCAAGGCCTGGTGTCCTGGGGAGGCCCTGAAGAATGTGGCAGCAAGCAGGTCTATGGAGTCTACACCAAGGTCTCCAACTATGTGGATTGGGTGTGGGAGCAGATGGGCTCCCCACAAGGGCTGGGGGAGCTCCAGGTGGAGCGGTGAGCTGACTCACTTCCTCAGGGCCTGCCTACCCTGCTCTAGCCTGCGTGAGGCTACACCACACACTTCCGACAGCACACTCCACGTTACCTACGCGGGACGGAATTGCTGACCTAGCAGGGCATTCCCCCAAGACAGCCCTGGGGGTTCTGAGAGCAGGAGAAAGAAAAGGCTCTCAGCAAGAGACCTGAGTCCCTG